TGCGTGTAAGAAAAAAAATCCGGTTAGAGCTTAAAGATATAAAAAACGCGAAAACTGCGTTTCAAAATCTTCCCACTCTGAAGGCTGAATAAAAAAAAGATCGTTTACAGACCCCCGAAACGCCGGCTTCGTGTGGATGAGAGGCTGGTTTGGTGAAAAATTTGTGCGTTTAGGCCAGGGTTCGGCTTCGTGTGGACGGGGCCTTAATTACTATGTTAATAACTGTGTATAGTTTATTAGACGGTTGGTTAAAAAAGCCCTTGCGCTGTCTGTAACATGTAGAGGTGCACTGTCACCAATGGTTCCATTCAAGGTGCACAGTCACTATTTTTTAGTGTGTGATCAAATACTGCTGGGAAATGCATAATTGTATCTTCTTGGCCGATTTATGGACCTGTCGCTGTATCCTGAACCTTTATCATGTGTTGTACTTCATATGGGGCCCACCCGGATTACTTACGGGCCTAATGTTGTGTCGTCACGACAACAGTCTTCAACATTTTCCAGGCCAAGGACCCCCAAACTGATGGCGAGATGGAGCGGGGAGCCCCTAATTATATATTGTATGAAACTGTGTTATATCAAACTGGCCTATTGTCACTCTATTACATATGGAGTCATGTAACGAAAGTAATTTCTCCCTGTGATTATTGAAGTATTTCTGATTCAGATTCCTTGTTGATGGGACAGGTGTTGTGAATGAAACGGTGCCCAGCTTGAAAGAGTTCCTGTGTATTGCTGAATGTGTGCAATGATGACTGAAAGACATCTTCTGCCTCTATTTATCTGTTTACTACAGTATGTTGAATTCATGTTAATGTGTATTTAAAGACATTTCAATTAGTGGAAAAAATTGCAGGGCGGAATATAAAAATGTCTAATAAACCAAAACTTTTGCAACCCCCATGCAGTAACTCCATGGACCCCCTAGGGATTACGGACCCCCTGTTGAAGACCTCTGCATTACACCATTGTTCCTACCTAAAAGGTCTGCTTCAAGTGTTGATGCAAGAGGGACAAGATCACTATCCTTAAATCCATGTGAGGGGCAAAAAAATGAGAGAAATATAATTCTCCACAAATGGCCCGTATAATAATAATAAATAATTGAACTTTAATAATCTCATATTGGAGAAATTTATCTTTGCATTTAACCCATCCCCTTGGGGAGCAGTGGGCTGCCATTGCGCGGCACCTACTTTGTATTTTATGTGAAATGAAATACAAAGTAGTTCTTAGTTTTTCAGGTTTTTGACAGTTTTTCAGGTTTTTGACATTTTTTCAGGTTTTTGACTGCCCCCACTCAGACTCTGAGGTCCCTATGCTCGCCTCTGCTGGCATCAGAGGAGTTTGTCTGTCTCTCCTGCTGTCACTCTCACAGCAGGATGTATCATCAGCCACTGATCATCAGGTGTTAGAATGATACATGGACACTCTCCCGTGAACGCACCTCCCACGCAACATACACACATCTACTCCTGTGCGCCCCTTCCAACCCTCCCCTCTTCTTTATCCCCATGCGAGGTTTTTCAGTTTTATGAATCTTTCCAAGTTAAGTCAGGTTGTTATTTCAATAGCATACCTTTCATCCACTCCACCACCTGGTTCGTACTCCATTTGCTCACCGGCTCCATCACCAGCGCCATCGAGGAAACTTTGCTTGGACTCTCCGTTGTGCGCAACCTGGTGGTGGTAACCCCAAAAGCAGAGCCCCCTCCTCCTTCTCCTCCTCCTCCTCCCTGTGTCCTTCCAGCCCTCCTCCACCTCTCCCCACAGCCAGATGACTCCTTACTTATCAAGGCTGGCTACACTGGTCCCGGTCCTGTCACCGGGGTGCCGGTAGGTTCCGTTACCGCGGCAGTTTGAGGCGGCAGTGTCCGCTGGCTGCATCCCTCTTCCAGAGCCTCTCTCTCTGGCTCTCTCTCTCTCAGTGCGTCAGTCCTGCTGAGTGTGTGCGTGACAGCTACGAGAAGCGCGTGTAGGTGTGCGTAGAAACAGTGAGTGTAGGATAGTTAAGTCACACCGGAGTCAACATCTCTCTCTCTCTTCTTTTTTCCCCTCTTCAGATATGATTAATCCACGCACGCGCCTTGTGGGTGGCTGTGCGCGCGCGCGTGTCGGTGTATTTCCCAAAGGAGCGATGGAATCATGTAGGGATGATGGAGATGGGGATGATTCAAAAAGATATTGTCGGTGGGGAGACATTTGAGATTTGAAAACGTGGGATGCTGGCTTCAGCTGCTGTGAGGAAACCTAATGAGTCTTCAGCCTCCAGCTGATGTCTCTTCTTCCCAATTTGGACCCTATAAATCAGGTGCAGTGTTGCACCTGAGCGAGACAGTTCATCTTCCCTTCAAGGCCTGCACAACTCGGTGCAAATGTTTGCAGTTAACAGTGCAATAAATGACTCTTGAAGTAACAGAAGCATTTCTGTAATCAAATTAAATGTTTGTTTTTGGGGATTCAAAATAGAAACATACAGTGACCCAGAGGTGTCAAAACTAATACAAAAGCCACAATACAAATACAAAAGCCGCAACACAATTACAAAAGCTGCATTACAAAAACAAAAGCTGCAACTCAAATACAAACCCGCAACACAAATACAAAAGTTGCAACACTAATACAAAAGCCACAACACAAATACCAAAGCCGCAGCACAAATACAAAACCCGCAACACAATTACAAAAACTGCATTACAAAAACAAAAGCCGCAACTCAAATACAAACCCGCAACACAAATACAAAAGCTGCAACACTAATACAAAAGCCGCAACACAAATACAAAAGCTGCAACACAAATACAAAAGCCACAACACAAAAACAAAAGCCGCAACACAAATATAAAAGCCGCAACACAAATACAAAAGCTGCAACACAAATACCAAAGCCTCAGCACAAATACAAAACCCGCAACACAAATATAAAAGCCACAACACAAAAACAAAAGCCGCAACACAAAAACAAAAGCTGCATTACAAAAACAAAAGCCGCAACACAAATACAAACCCGCAACACAAATACAAAAGCTGCAACACTAATACAAAAGCCGCAATACAAATACAAAAGCCGCAATACAAAATCAAAAGCCGCAAAACTAATACAAAAGCTGCAACACAAATACAGAAGCCGCAACACAAATAAGAAAGCCGCAATACAAAAACAAAAGCTGCAGCACAAATACAAAAGCCGCAATACAAATACAAAAGCCGTAACACAAAAACAAAAGCTGCAACACAAATACAAAACCCGCAATACAAATACAGAAGCACAAAAAAACAAAAGCCGCAGCAAAAAATACAAAAGCCACAACACAAATACAAAAGCTACAACACAAATACAAAATCCACAACGCAAATACAAAAGCTGCAACATAAATACAGAGCAAAATATGTGTGCTGTGGCTTTTGTTTTGGCGTTGCAGCTTTTCTATTTGTGTTTCAGCTTTTGTGTTAGTGTTGACTGGGTCACCATAGGTAACAAGAGAGTGAAGACCATAATTTAACACATGTAAAACCTGAAAAATGTGGCCTGCATTTGTCAGCAAGGCTGCGATATTAGCAATCTTAGAAGATCTTAAGTTGATTTGTGGAAATGTTGAATTAATAGTTTACTGCTAAATTGCTTTGAACATACATGACAAACAATACAAAGAAAGCACATCCTATTTATCAACATTAAAAGAAATTAAAAAGAACAAGCAGTAGGAGTAGAATGTGGACACTGTCATGGCTGAGAAAAAGTGACCCAGTTGATACAGAGTTAAAGATCTGCACTTGTTAGTCACCTATAAGCAGGGCTGGATTTAGGAAAATTGGGGCCCTAAGCAAGAACAGGCAGGGGGCCCTTTGATTTGAGAAGACAACACATAAAACAGACCCAGATACAGAAATTTTAATAGAATAGACATACATTATTCGTTCTACATTTTTCCCCTCTCTTCTTGTCCCCTTTCTTGATGTTTTTCTCTCTATGTTTAGTACTCAACTGACTTATTATGCTGTCCCAAAAGTAATGAAAGATTTTTTTCCAATCACTAAGCACGCTGATTGCTCCTTTCTGTGTTTCCAAAAAGCTGATGGCAAAAGTAAATAACGCAGTCCTTCTTTTCACTGTAAACAAGCCATGTTCTGCTTATCTGTTCTCCATTTTTCATTCGGATGAAATAATAGCTCATGACAGCAGACAAGATAGAGGAGAGCAGGAGGCATGTTTACCAATCTACTTGCTCTAGAGAGCAGAGTTCGGTGCTTTTATATGTTGTTGCCAAAGTCTCCAATTGCAGAAAAAAATTGCTAGATTTGGCACTAGGTGCTTTTTTTTAAATAAAAGGGCTCGAGGGGTCTGAAAAGTTGCTAAATATAGTGACAAAAGCGTTAAGTTGGCAACACTGCTTATCGCGCCGTTTGTTTTCAAATGGTTGGCTACTGTCTGTTTGTAACTTTCTGAACATGTGCAGCAAATGGACTGATCCAATGTGGTGGACACATTATAAGCGTACTGATGGCATTTTAACGAAAGGAATTTCATCAAAAACATAATTCATGTGCACAAATAAGGAATGGTTGTATTAACCATACATGGAAACAGAGTTTTGTTGGGCCCTAAACTTGGGGCCCTAGCAATTGCCTGGTATTGCCTAATGGTAAATCCCCTATAAGCACTACACACTGTAGCAGCTACAAAGGTAAAGATATGATTTTGCAATGTGCAGATACTAAACAACTGAAAAAAGTTGAGGCCAACAAGATAAATAATTGTAAGGTTACATTTATGACAACACTTCTATTGGGAATACACAATTTATACAAGTAATCTGTTCTTGTTATGATAAGAGCATTTTTGTTGGTTGATTAGCAGACAAAGGTCATAGAAGCTGTTGCTCTGTGACATAATCATTTTAAATATCTCACTCTGACAGTTGACAGAGGGGCTTTTGTGTCAAGATGTTAACAATGTCTTACCTTGAAACCTTAGGGCCACAAAGTAATGTTGCTACACCATTTTCCTACAATCATTGTCTTTCTTCTGCCACCATCCAGAGTTCCAAAATGTGTGCCATTATAGTCATTATATAATTCACATTTTAATAGCAGATCTGCAAGGTTTTAAAGGTCCACCTCGAACAGCTTTTCACATCTACTTACTGAAATTTGCATCTATTCTACAAAAAGCCCTAAATGAATAAAATTGGGAAGAATGTGTCTGAATGTACCCGAAAAAGTTTCCATTAGCAGTTCAGGGGAAAATATTGGCCTTGGTGAACCCCTCCAGCTGCCCCCCTAGTTAAGATTGAGCAGTTATCCAGTTAGGGCTTGAGCAAACAACATAATTTAGATGCTAAACTAAGGCTATGTTCACATAGCAGCCTGAAGTGACCCAATTCCGATATTTTTTGCACATATGCGACCTGTTTCTGATCTTTTCATGACCCTCTGAACAACACAGATTCGATTTTTTTCCAATCCGACCTAGGCCACCTGGCTATGTGGTCCTTAATCCGATACGAATCTGATTTTTTTCAAATGTGACCTGTGTCCAAATGGCCAGGTCGCATTCATCCGACCCATACCCCATTAATACCCGACAAAGTTCAATATTCTGAGTCTTGCTACGCAGAAGCGGCAAAGAAAACAACAACCATGGCAGATGATAATGCAATGACATCGCTAGATGTGCTCCAGCACTACCATCCATGTTTACTTCCACAAACACAGAGCATGCTGGCTTGTGACGTCATTACCTCCTCTACTGCGCACGCGGGAAACTTGTGTGAATGCAGTTCATACAGGCGATCACATACAAGTCGTATATATTTGGAAGTGTAAATGCAACACAAAAAAATCGGATTTCACAAAAAAATCGGAAATGAGCATTAAGGCCTGCAGTGTGAACTTAGCCTAATTCAGTCTAGATCCTCACACTAAAATGAACAATGTTAAGTTTAACATAATCTGAAGAAAAACTTTTGTGAGAAGACTATGTGTAACCCCGCATACCATTGACTGTATATGTATATAACCAATAGAAAGCTTTGTCACAGCCCCAGTGAGAGATAATACGTTTTTGTGCTGTCCCAATGGCATGCGCTCTGAGTAATGAGCCATAAGGCCCATATAAAAACCCGGTCTGATCTTTAACTGAACTTTTCTAACACAAAAAATGTGCTTTGATCTAAACCATCTGTGTCCATCTCCTCATTAAACAGTTTTCTACAAGTTTTAGATGTTTTTCTGCTGTAACAAAGCACAGAATTACCTCATCAATACGTCATCAAGTCTGAGAGATACAGCTGTTCTTGTTCAGGCCATGGTTCTCGACTGGAAAAAGTTTGACTCCCTCCTCTGGATTAGGGCTAACCTAGGGTTTAGATCTACTCCATTTCATTTCATCCATCACAAAATGTGCCATTTAGCAATGCCCACTGGACATAACTAAGAACAGTTCCTAGGTTTGGACATACCCACCTCTTGTATTGAAATGTCCATTTTAAGGGCCTCACATAGATTTAATTTACTGTGTACATACTAGGAGCTGTAACATTTTAGTCTTCATAATCTACTATACCTTTACCACATTTATTTTTACCTTAATTTCTCACATTGCCATGCTGTCATTGGAAAAGCTTTACAGAAACAACAGAGAGAAAGTCTAGAACTGTAGGGTGCCATTTCTTCTCCACTGCAAACCAGCCATCATGGCAGAAAAAGTGGCTGTGATGCTAGTGACTGGTTATCTGAGCAGTGTATCACTGCCAGCTAGTGCCTGGAAAGCCTAAATCGTTTCTAGACAACACATATGCTGTCATAAAAAAAAACAGCATTATGTCTACATGGAGTTTTCCTCAATTCTTCCCAGACATTCATGAACATATGTCTGCTCAATTTTTAGGGGGCCTTAACTCTTCGCATGTC